AACCTTACCCACTTCATCGAGCTCTTTATGCCAGCCTGCAGTATGGGCGAAGTACATATGCATACTATTGCGCGTTTCAAATAAAATGATGTAAAATTTTTTCTATCTAATGGGAGAATAGTCTCAAATCGGGGAATTCTTATTTCGAACTGTTTCGAATTCTTATTTCGAACTGTTTCGAATTCTAATCTGACACCATCAAGAAAATTTTCATTTTCATTTTCATTTTCATTGCTCATGGAGCGGAAATATTTTTTGTGGAGATTTGTGAGGGAGAGAGGACAGTTTTTACACCACTTCGCGTAGCCAGCATTACCTTGCTTGAATAGCTTAACCCTTAATGTTTTGAGGTCAAACATTCATCTCAAAACACTAAGTGATAAACTATTCCTAGGTCGTTATTCGCTCTGTTCCAAGCATTGACCAAGCAAAGCATTGTGTCATGTAAAAAATTAGCCCTCTAATCGGAATGATTGATTAGTGGTCTAATCGGAAAATGACATTCGTTTACTTAGCTGTCCGAATTAATTATTTTACTTGAAACGCGCAATAAACACAACCGCAAAAATAAACAGAAAAAAAAGTTTGAAAATAAACCAATACGCAAGCCAACGCTCGCCGCTGTCATCACCCGCCCGCCTTGAATACAGCTAAAGTGTAAATGAATGCGCATAGGAAGAAAAAAAAAGAGTAGATGGGATCAAACCAACTCACATACCAACATACACCAACCAACAGAAATAGAAGAAAAAAAATTGGGATACGGCCAATGCTCAATCACACCCCGCTTCCCTTTGCACCAACCCTTTATTTTTCGGTACCCGTGCGAAAATGCAAAAGCACATACGAATACACGTTACACATACTCACATATGCTGTACCCTGACAATTTAATTTGTGCGAACATTATGCTATTTGGATGTAACCAGATCTTAGCCATCCATCTTCAGATCCATTTGGGCCGTTTGTGCAGAAACAGATACAAATAATTCGATCGCACTATCGATCATGCCACATTCATATTCAAGATACTCATCATAGGCAGCGTCAACCTTCCCCCCCCTCCTCCTCCTCCTCTTCCCGGCCCATCATAATAAAATCAAGGTCCAATTTATACCACATGTCTTCTTGCCATTCTTGCCACCATCTATCGTACCCTAACGAATCATCACATAAGGAATCAGAGGACGACTCCAACTCAGACCTTGAACCACGCGGCGCAAATCCGATTACAGTAGATACCGAATCGATTGGATATACGCTATTAAAACACAAAAATAACAAACACACGCAAGAGTCCGTTATTAGAAAAAAGCCATACACTCAAAACACACACGCATATGTAGAAACATGAAAAAACACTTACTCATTGTTCTGTGCCGCAAAAAAATCAGTAGCTGTCTGAGCACAGTCATTGCAAAGAGCATCAAAAGCAACAGTGTCGGTCATATCAAGAAAAACAGTCGAAAACAGAATTGAAAAGAGGCAAACGCATCAAAGAGGGAATGCATGCGTGGTTGTTGCTGATAGGGACCCCCTATTTGTTGTTGTAAAAAAAAGAGGTAGGTGCGCTGATTAATTGTCGTTGTTGCCCAAAGAAAGAAAAGAAAGAAAGGAAAAAATAATGGGTGTCGATTGACGTGCGTTGTCCTTGTTAGATAAATTTAAAAGAGGAAGAAGCAGAGCGAAAGAAAAAGATCAGAAAGACAGAAGAAAAAAGATCAGAGCAAGACACCCAAAAAACGATCCGAGTAAGACACCCAAAAAAACGATCCGAGTAAGACATAGAAAAAAAAAATCAGAGCAAGACACAAAAAAAAAAAGATCAGAGGAAAACACAAACGAAAAGATCAGAGTAAGTAAGATACAGAAGAAAAAAAAGATAGAAACATCAGAAACAGAGATGATTCAGAGTGCGTAAGTCACGTTACAGGGGTAAGTTCTGAGATTCCTATAGTATTTTTAACATTTAAGATTTCACATGGGTTTTGCACGGAAAATGCTGTTTTTTTTATACCACAGTCTCAATGCACATCTTACAGGCAAACTGAAAGCTGTTCTATATAAAGCATAGCAACTCTAATTAAGAAATAGGTGTCACGAGACAAGAGCTTGCTCTTGTGACTTCGCCCTAACAAATATAAAAGGGCCTTAGATAGCAAATCTATGGCTCTTTACTTGGTATCGCCAATACAACATACGCTTTAACCTATTCCTTATACTCATTTCCTAGTCCTTGATCAAGGTTCTCTTTATCTACTTCATTCTATTGCTTGGTCTGCTTTCTTGACAGGTCCCCCACCATAGTACTGACTATGCCATCAACTGTTTAACTGCGCAGATCGGACGGGATGCGGTGGGTTTAGTTGTGTATGGCCGTAACTTAAAAGTAAGTGTTTGTCACCAAACATATATCGAATGCCAGGCCTCAAAGAACGAACAAAAAAAAAACCCCCCCTCACTCACTGGCGAGGGGAGGAGTTGTCACCAAGCACATTACACATGTCGAATGCCACCCCCCCATGAGGATTTTTTTTTTTTTTTTCTCACTGGTGAGGAGTTGTCACCAAACACATTACACATGTCGAATGCCACCCTCCCATGAGGATTTTTTTTTTTTTTTTTTTTCTCCTCACTGGCGGGCGAGGAGTTGTCACCACACTACACATGTCAAATGCCACCCTCCCATGAAGATTTTTTTTTTTTTTTTTTTTTTTTTCCTCACTGGCGAGCGAGGAGTTGTCACCACACTACACATGTCGAATGCCACCCCCCCATGAAGATTTTTTTTTTTTTTTCAAAGGCGAGGGCGTTGAGATTTTTTACATGGTTCGTACACAGGATTCTAACACGGCTCTGGCACGACACTCTTTACACGGGTCGTGCACAGGATTTTTTTACACCGCTCTGGCACGACACAGGATTTTTTTACATGGCGTGGCCATCTTGGTCGCTTCATGTTTTGATGAATGGCCCTTAACAACGCCCACACAAGAAAAAAAAAAAAAAAAAAGAAGAAAGAGAGAGGAGATGTTGTTCTTTCGAACAAATCTATAGAACAATGGGCTTAATCTCAGCAGATCGTAGTAACAAGACTACTCTACTGCTTACAATACCCCGTTCAATTAAAGTCGTCTGCAATGGATTTATCTCTTCCAATATTTGAAATTAACATTAGCAGGAACCTCACAAAGCCTTTCCGCTCTGCAAGATAACCCCACGTAGTATGATTCAGGATCCGAGGATCTATTCGTATTCAACTAAAAATCGGAAAAGGCGGTAATCGTCGCGTTCTAGCACGGGTTCTGACTTAGAGGCGTTCAGCCATAACCCAACGGATGATAGCTTCGGGCCATTGCCTGCTCAGGCAGGCCCAAATACCAATTATCCGAATGAACGGTTCCTCTCGTACTAAGTTCAATTACTATTGCAACAACATTTCATCAGTAGGGTAAAACTAACCTGTCTCACGACGGTCTAAACCCAGCTCACGTTCCCTATTAGTGGGTGAACAATCCAACGCTTACTGAATTCTGCTTCAGTATGATAGGAAGAGCCGACATCGAAGGATCAAAAAGCAACGTCGCTATGAACGCTTGGCTGCCACAAGCCAGTTATTATACCCTTAGATATATTTTTTTGCACCATTTCTTCAATTCCGCAGTCGATATCACATACCATCTGTCAACCATCCAACCATCCCAACCTACTTGCGTCCCATTGAGCATGAGTATCCAAATTACATTTTACATTTGTCCTAAATAGGTCGCTAGAACAATCTTTTCGCCACATTCGAACCACCCAGAGCGAAATATGATAATCAGCCACTTCAGCCACCAATCTTACCTATCATTAATTTTTTATCAATGTCTAGCCACATGAGAGCACATACAAGGCAAATTTATCTTTTGCTTTGCTATCTTTAAATACTCAAGTAAGGCAACAGGGCTTACATGTAATCGCCATCCCTAATCTCGTCAGCAGCAGTCAACTACCTATACCTTACTACCCTTTATTTAACTAAGTATCAAAAAGCAGTCCCCTTTGGACCTACCAAGCCAGGACGAGTCATCTGGAGACGATAGCCCCCTTATTCTTAATCGAACCGAGCAGAGACCCCAAGCGCCTAAACGAATTAGAGGCACGCCTCTATATTTCCTACCAAAGACATTCACCAATGAGACCAAGACGGACAAGGAAGTACCGGAAAAACGCTGCGCTGTCTGCTGCAGGCTCTTATATCCTAAGGATTACTGAAAGCTATCTTTGGCTCACAAGACGAGGATTGAGAACATGTTTCCCAAAGACCGGAGAAACGCTCTAGAACACGGTGCAACTGTGGATAAAATTGAAAAATAACGTGGCCTTTGCTAAATTATCGCGACTACAACGGAGAGTAGATAAGAACCTCAATATCCATTACCCCAGGGGTAAGGGAGAAGAATATGTTATTGTATGTGCCAGACACAAATCAAGTGGAGCCCAGAGCCTGAATACAATCATGGACTACGTAAGTTAAATTGTGAATCGCATCTGATGCACTCACCAACGAATGGAATATGGAACTTATGCTCCTGTAAATGCAAAATCTAGATACGTTTTGTCAACAAGCATTGGATGTATCCAGCTCCTCAGCCAGACGAACTCCGGAACCTGCATCCAAATGCAGAAGGCTTCCTCTCTTCGATCTTAGTGTTCTGTGAGTTGACCAATTCTCGCAGTAAGCTGACCCGCACAACCCGAGCAGGTCATCTTTTCGTGTCAGGCAGAATTGGGCTTTACAGGAATAACGAATATCTAGGAGCCCACGTTGGCACGCGCGGTTTGATCAAGCTGTCAGACATGAAGGTCGAGATAGACGATGAAGAGAATCAAAAAATATGCAATTCCTGGGACTGGATGAAGCAAAACCACCCGCCGATAAGACAGTTGGATGTCGATGAGCCTAGCGACTTGATGAACGCTACGAAGAAAGTAGTTGACCACTTCGCGCATACCATATGGGACCAGTCGGCACCGGTGGTCCAAGAACGGCAGACGAGTCGAGTTATCTGGACGACATGGTTATTGGAATTCTAGGACGTGATCAGCAACTCATCAAGTTTTCAAACCCATGCCTCCTGGGATATCTCTTCCCTACCCTCTACCCCAAAGGTCGAGGATTCTTTTCAAAGGATTATGGCGGCATCGAGGGCGATCAGAATCAGAGAATACAATATTATGACGGTAGGCTTTATACTCATCGTAGGTCTTTAGACATGTGGCTCTAAGGCAGGGCTGTAACTGATCGATACACCTCTTGAAATTATTAGATAATATTGATAAACATTTAGTGGACAAGAATGATTACCATGAAGAAGATGTTGAAGGATATATATCGCGGTCGAGTTCTGATGGCGAAAAAAGTGACGAGAACGATGAAAGCGAAGGTAATTCGGTTTTTTAGGGTCTTCAGGGTTTTTTTAGGGGTTTTTAGGGGACATTTTTTGATCTGGATGCATAGAAGATAAGGTGCCGAAACACCGCAAACGGCTAACCAACGTGCCATCTTTACCAGACAAAATAGAGGCTGATATTGGACCAGGCGGCGAAACCAAGTACTCCAAGTACACGATCAAGAGCTATGCCAAGTTTCGCCTGCTGAGTGTGGATAGACGCTGGGGCCGAAATGTCAAGTTTATCCTGATGATGTTCGATTGGATCCAGAAATCTGCCATTTTTAGTTATCAGATGCGCCTCGCCTCCACCACGACTGCAGGCAGAGCTACTCGAACCTATGACATCTTGGAGCGCTCAAATAATGGACAAAGTATGTTTATCTGAATGGGAAGCTAAAGGGAGAGTCACCAACCCTATTGCTCGATCAACACTGACTATGCGCGTGCACTGGGTAATAGGGACAAAGTACCGGGAATCTCGCACCGTTGCCATACCTCCGTTTATCCGAACTGGCGCCCAGTACAAGAATTTACTGTTTCAGAAATTTTCGGCCCTTTTCGAAGAATTTGGCACCCCGGAGTTATTCGGAACGTTCACTTGTGACAACCGAAGTGCTGGTCAAGTCGCCCTTGCCGAGCATTTTGGTGGTCCTGGGGCCAATACACATGACGATCCTGTTCTTTTCACTATGCACTAGAAGAGACAGTGGTTTCGTTTCTGGAACTAGGTTGTGAAGTCCGGAAAGGGTCGACCGGGATGGGCAGAAAGCGAGTTGGAGGAGCACGAGCGTGGTGCTGAGTATTCGAACTACTGGACCGCGGAACCCCACATACCCACTTTTGTCTCTGGACAAACAACACCATTGAGCAGATGATTGACGACAATATCATCACTTGCTCAGTGAGTCAAGAGAAAGCAGAGGACAGAGCACTTGTTGCCAAGCACCAGACCCATAAGCATACTGCCTACTGCAAGTCCGAGTACAAGGAGTGTCGTTTCAATTACCCGAGGCCGCTCAGCAGTCGCACATATCTCAGCGAGGAAGGTCGCTATGTTCTGCAACGAGAACCTGGAGACGAGTGCATCAATGGCTACAACATGGAACTACTTCGATTTGGCCGAGTGAATATGGACCTACAGTATGTACTCGCCTTATCTAGGTCAATTAAAACGCCAACTCTTTCTCCACACCCCTTTGTCCATCCCATGCATGCTATCATGAGTCTTGTGTTATTTTGTGTAAGTAAAAAAGCCTGCGCTAGTTTATTTACTTTGTTTTATCAAATGAATGAATGGAAGGAAAAAATGATAAAAAGGGAGTATTGGGTGCATGAGGAGTTGTACTACTGTTATGCACTAGTTTTATAAAAAAAAAAGGGAAAATGTGGCGTGGAGTGGGGTCGCTCTACAACAAGAAAGAAACCAACGACGCAACACCGACCACAACAGCCGCCGCCACCGCGCCACCAGCCATGGACCTCCCGGTAGCAGCACCATTCCCGGACGCATTCTCACCATCATCACCACCACCACCACCACCACCACCACCACCACCACCACCACCACCATTCTTTCCTGAGCCTTTGGTCGGCTTGGGAGGAGGATCCACCCTGTTCTGAACTCCAGCCGGGATCTCAAACTTCAACTGCGTCGACACCAAGGTACTCATATCCGTAATCCACCCCTTGACTGAATAACTCATATGCCCGGTGTCATTGACCAAATTATTGTTAAAGTCATCAAAAGTGAATCCGTTGAATTTTCCGGGTCCCGTGCGGTTAATCGAGACATCCCAAAGGTAATCGAGGGATAGCATCTGGTTATAGGCCATGATGCGCGGGAAGAAGGCTTCGGGCTTAAAGACGGTTTGGACGAGCTCTTTGAGTGTCTGTTCGAAGTGGGGATTGATGGCCGTGTTGTTGAGGATGAGCTTTGAGACGAGGGGGTGGTCGTTGGGCGCGAAGTCTACCCAAGTCTGGTACGACAATATAGTCGAGCCCGGGTATCCGTTCCCCAGGGTGCCATCAAAGTCCGTCGGGATCCACTGCCACTTGCCCTGCGCGCCCAGGGTCGGGTTAAAATACATGAAATAGTTCGATCCCGACATCCAGTAGTTGTCAAAGGCGCCCGTAAGGTACTCGAGAGCCATGCAGCGCAGAAAACCATCCAAGTCGAGGCGGGTGTCGTTCCAGTAGGCGATGGGGTTAGGTGTAGTGGCGGGGTTGAAGTCTTGGAGGTCTTTCATAAATGTGATGAGTTGTTGGAGAGGGTCGGTGATGGGGCTGTTGCCGATGTTGATGATATCGTAGCCTTCGTCGTAGTTGGCGCTTGTGGGGCCCTTATAGATGAGGTCTGCCTCTATGTTGCCCCCGGGTGCGTTCATCTATGTTGTAAACAAGGAGGAATAAAAAGAAAAGATGGAAGAAACGAAGATGTAGGCAGCAATGTAAGCACAGGAGAAAGATGCGAGTAAGAATGAAGACGAGAGAGAAAAAAAAACCAGAAGAGAAGCAACAACATACCTGGACCATGGAGCCACTAACAATAGAAGGATAACCACCATGAATAGTCTGCTTAATAAACGACTTCCTGATATCATCCACCATCAGGAACAATCCATAAGGCTGGTTATTGACAAACAGCCTCACATACTGCCCCTGCTGAGTCGGGATACCCGCAGAGTTGAGTAGATCAATATAAGTCTTCTCCCTCAACATGGTCGGATCCGAAGCCCCAGACCTCAGCTTGACGTGTGGCCTCGAAAAGAAGGTCTGGTTGTAATCGGTGTCAAAGTCAAACCTCCAGGCCTGCTTCCGGTGCTCCTTGGAGGATTTGCCAGAATTGATGAACGAGATGTTGTACTGCGTATAAATCTCGTTATGGTCGATCCAGCGGAAGGTGACTCGGATGTCGGGTATGTCCTTGCTGCTAGCGGTTGGGTTGGCATTGAGGGTAGCCATCTGGGCGGCGTCAGCGGTGACATGGATAGTAGCAATCTCGTCATCGTTAAAGATCTTGGTGTAAGAGGGCCAGGTGGCAAGGTAGGTGTAAGGGATAGGGGGAAGGGCGAACTTGGTGGTGGGGCGTTCAAAGAACTCGTTGTAGCTGTGAGTGCTGTCAACTTTGGGGAGAGTGCGGGAGAAGGACTCGGTCTTGACGGCGGTTCCCGCGGCGTTGAGCTCGACGTATTGGTACGAGACTGAGGAGGTGGCGGTGGGGACGACACCCTTCCAGACAGGGAAGGTGGTTTCGTCAGCGACCAGCTTTGTGATGACGCCGTTGATAGAGACTCCGAATGTGTTTGTGGGTGCGGAGGGGTATCCGATCACGTTGAAGGTAACTATCGAGATGGTTGGATGGAAAGGGATGAATATGATGCGCATTGTCCCTCTCAAAATGAATGTAAACAAATCGCAAACTGAACGGGAGCAGTAGGTTCCTATATGCGCATGCAAGGGTGTGTGTCTGTGTCTGTGTCTGTGTCTGTGTCTGTGTCTGTGTCGAGATGTACAAAGAATGTGGCTGATATGTGTATGTTCTTCCTGTGTCCAGTGGAGGAGAAGGCTGTGAGCCGACTAATTTGGGTAAACATGTGCATGCGAGGAATTCTGAGCCCTAGCCCTAGGCTGGCCCAAATGTTTGTTTACTACACTTTTTTGCCTTTTCACGTTCATAAAGCCTTCGCCCTCCACCAGGGTGGAATAACAACGGACCGAGTATAAATTATGGATAGTTGTTAGGTTGAGCTGGAGAGGAGGTGTGGCAGTGTCATGTGAGAGAGTGAGTGAATTTGTATGTGTGGAGAGTAGATTGGTCGTGTGCCATGGTCGTGCCCAACAGTCATGTGCAATGGTCGTGTGCAATGGGCGTTTGAGTGTGGAGCAAAGAAATTCACGAACAAAAAGGGGGAGGTATTGCATCTTTTCTTCTTGATGGTGTGTGTACAGCACTGCATGTATAGTATAGATGCACGAGGTTTGACTCCCATCCCAAGAACAAAGAAAACCAAAGTGTCCAAATAGGAGCCACCTCTTCTCCTTCCCCGCTTCTCCCTTCCTCTTCCTCTTCTAGTTGTGCCCCTTTTACAGTGTTACTCCACTCCTTTCCTCCTCTTTGACGACTTTACCCCACTTCCGTCCTCCCCTCGTCCAAAACGGAAATCCGTAGTGCCGAATGTGAGTCCTCCAGATAAAAAAGCCAGCAAGGCATGACGAGCATGAAGCCTGAAGCATGAAGCATGAGGCCAAGAAAACTAGTTCACATTCACAAACAAGCCCGACAATTATCCAAAACACTTCCCCCGCCCCCTATTGTTTCGTCTCGCACGCTTTGTCTTTGCTCATGTCTTTAATTTGTCTCTTCCACGTGTGTGGTCAATGGTCGAGTCGCGTATTGTCGACTGAACAAAATTTAGACGAAAGCCGCCTCTGCGTTGAAAATACGCACGAGAAGGCAAGATGGTGAAAGATGAAGAAGAAAAAAATGAACAAATTTTACTGCGTGTCCCAAAGATCCATGGCACGTTCATGGGCAGGATAGAAATGAAAAAAGAGATACTGCAATCTTCGCAAAGAATACGAAAAGGGGTACAGGAAGAGTAACAGAAGGAGACTGAAATAGACTGAGGAGAAAACCGCCGTGAATATAGGCCGAATTCTTGGTTGGTTGTTTCAGGGGAAATAGAATGGTGTGGTGTGGTGTTTTGGAAAGGACATTAACTGCCCCAAAAAAAATGAAGGTGTGTGGTAGGTTGTGGTGCATAGATTTGAGAAAAACATTGATTGAAAAAAACCAAGAAAGACTTACTTTGAGCAAGGGCGGCCGAGGACAAGGCGAGCAGACCCGCCATTGAGGCAAATACGCGCACCATTGTTGAATGATTGAGAGTGAGAGAGGGAAGGGTGAAAAGTGTAGGATGAAGAACAAGAAGTAAGGAAGGAAGAGGACGAAAGTGCACAAGACGAGAGAGAGGCGTTAAGAGGAGGGATCAACCGAGGGCGCAGACAAGGTTGAGTTTTTGGCTGTTGACCTTGCTGAATGCCAGGCGTGAATGTTGTGTTCAGGAAGTATAAAAAGAATAAAAGAAAAAATGGAAAGGGACGGACAATGAAAGGAGAGGTATGGGTGGTGCAGAAGAAGAAGGGAGAAGAAAAGAAAGAAAAGAAAAGGAAACGAACGGACAGTGGTTATATTTACAAGGAGCAGTTGAATGTCAGGGCGAAGGGAAGGGGAACAGATGAGGATACGTAAACGAATAATGATGATGATGATGATAGTGCGGACGCGAAAGTTGGAGATGTGGATGAATGGACAATAAGTGGACAATGAACATGGACATGTACTGGCTGGGCTCGAACATGGACAGTTCACAACTTAATCCATCGATCACACGATGGCCAGTCTCTCTCTCTCACACATCCCCCCCCCCCCCCCCCCCAGGGTTTATCTACTACTATTATGAAGAACAACGAGACAGATATCCCAAGAGAGAAAAGTTGTTTATAGTTGTCTTGTCGTTCAACCTTCAACTTTTCAATGCACAAGCACCCTCTGTTCAATTGCTCATCACTCACAAGAGCCCCTGCATCTTTCCCCTCCCCCTGTTTAGCCCTAAATTAGCCGAAAGTAAGAACACTAACAACCACAACAAGATAAAAAGAAGAGACAGGGACACGATCGATTTTTTTGGCATAAAAC